GCAGGACGGAGGACACCCGGTCCCGCCTCGGGGCCCACTCACCCCAGTCCTCATCCGGCCGCAGCGAGAGTCCGGGGCTAAAGGGCGACTCCATGGTGCCGGCGACGCCACCGGCCTGGCGCTCGGTGACTAATGCCCGGACGGCGGCGGCCGGCGCACGAAACGCGCCGCGGCCGGGACGGTGGCCGAAGGCGGACACACTGCCTCCCGCGCGAGGGTCGCGAGCGAGCCGGGGCCGGGCGCCCGAGGCCGAGGCCGAGGGGCTCCGACGGGGCCGGGCTGAGAGCTGCCGCTCGGAGGTCGCCGCGCTTTCCGTGCCGCTGGGTGGAAGGGAGGAAACGGGACACGTCAGTGGCGAAATAAAAGGGGGCGGTGACTTGAAACGGGCAGCCCGTCCCGAGCGCAGGGCGCGCCGCGAGCCGTGCTGCCCCCGCAGGTGCGGCGGAGCGCGGGGCGGCCTGGCGGGGTCGGGCGGGTCAGCGTCTCCTCGCCGCCCGGCGACCCCGCAGCCGCGCGCGCCCCCGGCCCCTCCAGGACTCACACTGGAGGTTCGCTTCCCTCCCTGGACGCCCGCCTCCCGCCAGCTCCACGGACCCCGAGGTGCGCGGGAGCGAACGGCTCGGGCCGCGACTTCAGGGTGCGCGTCTGACGCAGCTCCGCCCGGACGGCGCGCGTTGACAGCACGCTGCCTGAGGAACACGCAGCCCTCGGCGCCCGGGGCGGCCTTTCCCATGGTTACGAAACACAGACGCCTCCCACAAGCCTCCGCGCCCCCGGCTGGGCGGTTACTACGCGTGACGTCACCCGCGACGCACAAAGCCGCCGTGGACCCGCCCAGAAAGGGCCCCCCAGGTGCCCACACCTTGACCCGGGTTCCTTCCAGCCTCACGCGACTGACCAGTGTTCACTAGGGTGAATTCATAACTTTTATTCTCATCCAACTGCAAATCCAAACGCTGTCATGAAAACGAAAATAAAACCAGCAAGAGACTTCAATTCTCGATCCACCAGACACCTTAGTCTTTTTAAGTCACCATGACTGAACTCCGGGAAGGCTTCATTTTTTTAATATTCAAAAACTGTATCTTTTATTCAAATAGTGCTGATAATTATGCAACATGCGTTTGTCTACCTATCACCAAACGTTAATAAGTATTAACATTTTGCATTTTCGCTTCACATTTTTCATAAGAAATTAAACATTACAGATAAAGTTGAGCTCGGCTTTTCCCTCGGCTACTTCATTTCCCTCCCTCCACAGAGGAAACCTCTATTAGGAATACTAGAGGAATCACTCAAGTCCATTTTTATTTTTACTTTTATCATGTTTAAAGATGCACACATTTAGTGTTGTTCGGGTTTTTTTAACATACAGGTATCTTCTGCCCTCCAAATCACTTTTCTCATTCTTATTTTTGATGATACATCCGTGTTTGAACTGTCATGTTATTTCCTTGAATATTACCTATATATCACAATCTTTTCATTTCCCTACTGATGGACATTTGAATTTTCATTTTTTACTGTTATATGAAGTATGTCCTTCTGTGGGTCTCCTTGGGCACACTTGCAAGCGTCTGGGAAGACATATGCTGGCTCA